TTTTATCTTTTTTATCTAGTACAATTTGTGGAGTAGTTTTTGTCATCATTTCAATAAAAAATGAGCATTATAAACTAGTGAAACTTAACATCTTAAATGAGTTATGCATTGTTGTTCTGTTGTTGTTCTGGGTCTTGATTTTCAAAAACAACACTAAGCTGTAACCCTTAAATTTGAAGGAAAAAGACACTATTAATTTGTGGTTTGTCAAAGTTGAACGTGTCCCCACCTAGTTTATTTTGCTATTTATCGCCTAACTATAAACCAATAGCTTCAAAATCTTGTCGGTATAGCAAGGAAGACCAGTCATTCATTGAAATGGAAGTACAATGTATGCTTAAAGAGGACATTTTTGAACATTCGAATTCTCCCTGGAGAGCTCAGGTAGTTGTAACTAAAAGAGAACGCTCTAAGAAAAGATTAGCCAATGATTACAGTCAAACAATAAGTATACTCAACTAGACGCTTACTCATTACCAAGAATTGATGGTCTAGTAAACAAAATTGCTCAGTACAAAATATTTAGTACAGTTGATTTGAAATCCGCTTACCATCAAATTCCAATTACCGAAAATGATAGAAAATTTACAGCTTTTGAAGCAAATGGGAGGTTGTTCTAATTTAAGCGAATGCCTTTTTGAATTGAAAATGGTGTTGCTTGTTTTCAACGTACCATAAATGAATTTATAGAAAGAGAAGGACTTTTAAATACTTTTGCTTATCTAGATGTGACAAAATGTGGTAAATCCCAAGAAGAGCATGATAATAATCTGGAAAAATTTCTCAAGTCAGCTAAAAATATAAATCTTACATATAACCATGATAAATGTAGCTTCTTCCAAGAGAAAACTTGCATTCTTGAATATCTTATAGAAGAAAACTCAAATCAGATCCCAGTCATCTTCAACCTATAAAAGAGATGCCTCCTCCTCCTCATGATGCTAAATCCATGAAGCCCATCATCAGACTATTCTCATACTACTCTAAATGGATTCCAAACTTTTCCAACAAGATAGCTTCTCTCCAGAAACACCAAGTACCCATTAGATTATCAGTGTGTAAATGATTTTAATCAACTTAAACAAAATATTGCAAACCCTGTGACAGATTATGTGGACAAAAATGTCCCGTTAAAAGTCAAAATTAATGCATCTGACATTGCTATAGCTGCAGTTCTTAATCAAAATGGGTGCCCTGTTGCTTTTTTTTCAAGATTACTTCAAAAGTCTGAGCTCAAACATCTATCTATTGAGAAAGAAGCTTGTGCAATAATAGAAGCAGTCAGACATTGGAAACACTACCCTTACTGGATGCCCTTTTAGACTTATTACCGATCAGATGCCCTTTTAGACTTATTACCGATCAACCTGTGTCTATATCTTTGAAAAGCAACATATATCAAAAATTAAAAATAATAAAATTTATCGATGGAAAATTGAACTATCTTGCTATAACTAGGACATTGTTTACAGGGAAGGGAAATTAAATATCCCATCTGACACATTTTCTAAAATACATTGCTCAGCAATAAACACTGACAACTTAATTCAGCTTCATCAATCATTCTGCCATCCTGGAGTAACTAGATTTTATGCTTTTATTAAAAAAAGTAATTTATCTTTTTCAATTGATGATGTTAAACTTATAACTAATCAGTGCAAATTATGTTGTGAATGTACACCTAGATATTACAAACCACTAAAATCTAATTTGATAAAGGCCACACAACCACTGGAATGTTTCAACTTAGATTTTAAAGGACCTCTTCCTTCAGAAACTAAAAACAATAATTTTTTAACCATAATTGATGAGTATTCTCATTTTCCTTTTGCAAGCCCATGCCTTGATATTTCATCTCAGACTGTAATTAACTGTTTGTCACAAGTATTCTCAATTTTTGGTTTGCCAAGTTATATCCATTCCCATAGAGGTTCAGCCTTCATCAGGAAAGAATTAAAACAATACTAGAGAAAGGCATTGCAACAAGTCATACTACAGCATTTAATCCCCACAGAATTGGTCAATCAAGAAAGTATAATGAAACCATAATGAAGTCTATTGAGATTTCTACTAGATAACACAGTTTAAGGATCAAAGCTTCGGAAAAAGTAATGCCAGATGTTCTCCATTCTATAAGATCAATAATAAATACTAAAACAATGGAGACACCTCATGAAAGAATGTTTAAGCACCTTCGTAAAACAGCCACTGGATGCACTGTACCTTTATGGTTATGTCATCCTGGATGTCATAACCATAATTTAATGAAAAGATATTTATATAATAATAAGTATGAACCGTATGAAAGTATGAATATATATATATATATATATATATATATATATATATATATATATATATATATATATATATTATAATATAACAAAGTTAACATTAAAGCATGGCGTACTCTGTTAAAACATGCACTTTTAGTATATACATCAACAGGGGTGTGGAGTCGTAAAAAAAAAGTAACAAATCCGACTCCAGCTGTTGAAATTTTTTGAGTACAACTCGGACTCGGACTCAGACTCAGACTCCAACTCCAGAGCAAAATTTTTGAAAAATTCTTTGAATTCTTTAAAAAATATTGCTCAATAAATTGAAATTTTTTTTTGACAAATTTATGCAACGTTCTTTGAGGTTTAGTATGAACGTAAGGTTAATTGAATGTTGTACATGCACGTGCAATACCAAGAAATATTACTATTGGAGTTGGAGTCGCGATATTTTTTAGCGACTCCGACTCCGCTAAAATTGTCGCAACTCCGCAACTCTGACTCCACAGCCCTGTACATCAACTATGTATGTACTAAAAGTAATTACAGTTTTAAGAAAATGAATTTAAATTTTTTTTAATCTTATTTAGAAAAATTTAAATTCAATTTAATTTAAAAAATATATGTTATTTAAAGTTAAACTCCATCCAACATTGAGTTGTTTTATGATCATAAAACAACTGGGGCTTATTTACTCTCTACCCCCCTATTTTTATTTTTGATTATGATAGAGAATTTCATTCTGATTAAGAACCGTTTAAAAACATAGATCTGAAAATTAACAGAAAGTGCTCTAATTCGATGTTGAAGTTTAAAAAATTACACTAAAAAGTTCTAATATTCGCCATTTTTTCATACTCGATTATAATTAAAATCCTTTCATAAGATGACTTTAAAAAAGCCTGGTTTCTATCAACAATTTAAAGCAAAACTGTTAAAAAATGCGTCATTTTCTTATTGATTTCTGGCCCAAACCCTAACCCTGTCCCAAATCATGTACGTTTAATCGCACCAATCCCTATTTGTCAGTCGATGTATGTGCATACAGTTGCATCAATCCCTATTTTTTAGTTGATATATGTACATTTAATTGCGCCAATCCATTTGTCAGTCGATTTATGCACATTTAAAAAGCAATATCTTAAATTAATTTTTGAAAATTTAATAAAAAACATATTCATAAAAAATTTATTTTAATTTAAATATAATTTAATTTTGGTAACAATAAAAACCAGGTTGCATAATTAAAAAAAGATTTTCTAAATGATCGATTTCTAAATGTAAACTTTGATATAAAACGTGTTTAAAAAATGGCGAATATTAGCGTTTTTTAGTGTAATTTTTTAAACTTCAACATCGAACTAGAACACTAACTGTTGATTTTCAGACATGTTTTTATACAATTCTTAATCAGGATAAAATACTCTATCATAATCAAAAATAAAAATAGGGGGGTAGAGATGTAAATTAACGCCAAACAACTCAATGTTGAATCAAAATCATATGATTTTTTCTTGACTAGTATTAGTTAAAAAAAATTGTCAATTGAAAAATTACGCAATGTTAGGTTACGTTAATTATGTTAGACTTTTACTTTTTTTTATTAGATTACTTGACTTAAAAAAATAAAAAATAAACTAGAATCATATAACTAAAAAACTTTTATAAAATTAAAATTTATAAAACAAATGCATATAGGTACATTTCTAATATCTATTATAGATTCTATATAATATCTATGTAATACCTACGTAATATCTGTTACAAGTATTACAAGTCAATTTAACATTTAAAATTTAAATATCAAATGTAAAATATACATACCGATATATTAAGATTTCAATTATCAAACATATTTTGTTTAGTCATGTAATGAAAATCACATGTCAAGCAATTAATCCCTGATTTTATGGTACCACTTATGTTATAAATGGGTCCATTTTTAAAAATATTATTTTACTAAACATGATAAACAGATTTTTCAAAAAAAAGAATTCCACGCATAGCTTATAGCATCTGCAAAATAGTTTTGCGTCATTAACTGATGTGACTGCGTCATGCGTGACGCTTGCGCAGATCTGATTGTCTGCTTATTTAACTATCTACTAATGTAACGCGACAGCGGAAATAGGCAATAGGGAGTTTGAGCACGCTTTATCTCCAGGCGGTGTTAGTAAAAACACCGGCAGGAGATAACGAGCAAATTAGAAAAACGTTAAGCATGAAAAACTTTAATTATGCGCGTTTCAAGTCATTAATTTTCATGACTTATTTTTAAGTGAAAAGTTTTTCCAAAAACAATTTCAAAAACATTTCCAAGAACAATTCCAAAAAAATCTGCTCTATAAGCAATCAAAGCAATCGCGGTGTCGCAAAACATGCGCAGTTGTGGGGTTTGAACTAGGGATCCTTTGTTTTTGAGGCAAGTGCGCTACCACTACGCCACGGCTGCACAATTTGTCGTAAAAATACCCTACTTAATAATTTAATATTTCAAATCTGCTCAATGCAACTAAGGCATAGAATAAATAAACTCGTAAAAAAAAAACCCGATAATTTAAAACAAATTCGATTGGCTGTTAGAGGCAAACCGAAAAACTTTTTAGTTATTAGCATTTAATTTATGTAAACAAAGAATTCGAATTGAAAGTAATTTGTTTAAAAAGTTTACCGCCTCTGTTTTTTTATTGTTTACGCATTCTGAATAGAATAATTCAGTGTTGATAAACGGCGTAAATCTTCTTGCCCCCACTTTTCTTCCGCAGCAGATGGCTGCTGCCTCCCGATCAATTTTTAGCGGCAAAATGTTCTTTTTTCCGCCTCCAGTGGCTTCCGCTTTTCTATTGGCGGCCGCAGCCGGAGTTCTTTTTTGGAGGCAAAATGTTTTGGAGGCCGACGCCAATAGAGTGGTGAAGGCCAATGGTGGCCGCCTCCAGAAGAAATTTTGGAGGCAAAGCCATTTGGAGGCCGCCTCCAATGGCTTCTGCCTCCTAACTGGCTGCGGCCGTCAAATTGGAGGCTGAAATATTTGCCTCCCGCCGGCGGATTTGATGAAAAATAATTGCTCGTTTGCTTTAAAGCAATTAAATATTAAAGTTTTTGATCGTTTGATATTTTGTCGCCCTTACGTCACGCTAAAACTTTAATTTTTTGACCATAACATTAAATAAATTATTCTAGTCATTATATTTTGTAAAAGTATTTGAAAACACAATATCTTTTAACATTATTAAAAATTAATAAAGTTAATTTATTTAACATTTATTTATTTATTTATTACAGCAAGTTTATTTATTACAACAAGTATTTAACATTTGTTTCTAGTTAATATTTAATTGCTTTAAAGCAAAGGAGCAATTATTTTTTATTACATCCGCCTTTCAGTATTTCAAAAAATGATACTAAATACCAAATATAATTTTTTAAATGGGGCTAAAAGTTATGATTATTTATACAAAAACAACTTTGGTAGAAAAATTAACACTACCATAGGTTATCTAAATCAAACGTGACATTATTAAACATACTCATTTAGGCGTGTTATTGAAAATAACACACCTAATGTTATTGGTTTTTCATGGATAATCTTCCCAAATAATGTCTGGTTGTAAATGTCAAGTTACATTCATTGACAATAAGCACTAATATGTGCTTTTATGAAAAAATCAAATTTATAGACTTATCTATAGTCAAGCCCCAAGGTACTTTATGTTAAAAACTGCATCTTTTCTAAATAAAACTACGCTTCGCGATTTATAGTTAGGCGTATATTATAGTCGCATTACTTTTACCAGATTATAATAGTGGTTAAAATAATCTTTCCACACATACCAAATATGTCATACTTTTTGATGAAAAAACTGACATATATTGAAAGAACGTATATTTTTGTTCAGAAAAACGTGTACCAGGCCTTAGTTGTATTGAGTGCCATAATGTCTTCCTAATTCTGTAATTAAACGGAAAAATTCCACATTTAATTCTCTGTAATCCAGAAATATAAAGAGTGATAATCAAACTTTACGGAAAAATTGAGCATTTCTTTTACGTCCGAGTATACTAAAGTATAATTTTTTATATTTTATAGAAGTAGTAATTTTATTTTTAAACTAAAAAAATTTGAAAGTAAAAATTATAGCATAATCAGTTAGTGTGATAAGCATAAAATTTTAGTTGCCTATTCGTCTAGATAACTGTCTATAAATTTTAAACAGATCCTTGAATGCTGCAAGTTGTGTTGGGTAGCTACTGGTAACTAGTGCAGTTTTTTATAAAGAGTTACAAAAACAATTACATTATTCAAAAAAAAAAAGATCTAATGAAGCGAAGCGATTTTATACAAAATATATAACTAAATTTACATTAGATACATAATTAACTTTTTTATATATAATAATGTTTATTAATTTATTTACCTCTTTTTTAGATCCAAAATATAAATTAACTGCACAAATATTGAAAAATGTTAACTTTTTTATATAAAATAACGTAAAATTTAACTTCACAAAAATATTAAATTTAAACAAAACAGCATATTAATTAGGTGTTAGTTAATCTCACATAATTAAAAATTCTAAAGTAAACTTTTTTTTGCGAAGACTTTGATACAAACTCTATTACCACTTTCTGTATGTCTGCACCATCCATTCTCTATTTTGGGTAAAAAAAAAAAAATAGTTTGTTAATAAAAATAACCCATTCATCACATTATATCACATTGTTTCATCATGTTTAATGTTCTTTCTGCAGTTACAAATGATATGGTATATATAGGCAATAACATTATGAGCGTCTCTGAAAGATACTCATTATCTAACCGCTTAAAGTGGCTAGTTATCGACTAGCCACTTTTAGCCGCTACTACTAATGGTCCAAAGTAACCGATGAACACAACTACAGTGAATTGCTCAAAATTTAGATCCACTGAAATATACATAAGTGCTGCTATTATATTTTTAAATGAGCAACTTATATCATAATATGTTATTGTATACACGAGTAAAATGCAAAAATGCGGAAGTTTTGAATGTGTAAAATGCGGGAAAAAAGTGCAGAAAATTTCTCTTAACCTTAAACTTATTGCTACCCCAACCAAAACACTTAGTCAATGATGGTAAATTCAATCTTTTTAGTGTTTCGTAGTATTAAAGACGTTTTAAGCTGAAAGTCCAATTTGTTGCTTTACGTTGAATAGATTCTACCAAGGTTTTGTTAGTTTTTAAATAAGAAGCTTAAATAGACGCTATATATTTATGGTGTGGTCTAATTAACACTTTATATAAATTGAGAGCCATATTTTCATCAATGAAAGGGAACGTCTTTTTGCATACCAAAAATTTGTAAGGACTCAGAAACAACTGTTCAAAAATGTGCAGAGGGCAATCTCTAGGCTTAAAATTTATAAGCACATTAATGATAATAAAATTATCATTCATGTGCTTATAGATTTTGTTCTTAACAAATAGTTTGACTATTTTGCAGGCAACAAAGTTTGGTAAAAGAGGTCGATAGTTTTCAGCAAGTAATTCATCTTCCGTTTTTTTAGATCGCGCTAAAATTTGCTAATTTCTAAAGAGTGAATAGTATTTTAGAATTAAAGAATTTATGAAAGATTTTTGTAAATAGAAAAAATATTTAAGAGGTTTAGATTGGTAAATTAATAATGTATAAAATAGAAAAATCCAAGTTGCCATTTTTAGTTCATTTTGGTTAGTATCACTTTTTTAACAATGGAAACTATTCAGGGATGTTAATATTATTTCTTTTTTATGTGCTCTTTTTGCTTTAAACATTTTAGCTTTTACGAAACGAAGGCAGTTTATTTTAAGTTTATAATTTACGAAACGAAGGCAGTTTATTTTAAGTTTATAATTCTTCCATTTAGTTGAGGCGTTGCGGATTTTTTTGTTCGTGGTTTTATGCAAAAATAAAATATTCCAATTGATTGATGCAATAAAGTTTGATACTGATTCGTCTTTGAAAAGTAAACCGTCTTTGATACTGAAACGGTTTTGAAACTAAAATTCCTTAACTAAAATTCCTCAAGCGGCCCTTAGTATTATTACCTAATAAAGCATAAGGAAATAATTTTAATATATAATTACTGCTGTAGGTAAATAACAAGTCCAACATATGGTTTTAGCAACCATAGGGTGTCTGGGCCCTCCCGCGGCTGCGAGCCCTGCGGGCCCTTGGCTACGCTACTGCTAGTTACCCTATACAATTTGAAGCATCCAAGGATCTGTTTCAAATTTATAGACAGTTGTCTAGACGAATAGACAGCTAATTTACCAAATGCGGACGCAAGTTTATGCTTTTTAACAGATAAATTTTATGCTTATCACACTAACTGATTGTGATATAATTTTTACTTTTCATCTAATTTTTTTACTTTGAAAATAAAACTTTTTACTTTTAAAAATAAATATAAAAAATTATACTTTAGTATTCTCGGACGTAAAAGAAATACTCAATTTTTCTGTAAAATTTGATTATCACTCCTTATATTTCGGGTATACAGATAATACAGAGAATGAAATGTGGAATTTTTCCGTTTAATTACAGAATTATGAAGACATAACGGCAGATTTGAAATGTTGTATGATTAATTAGGGTACTTTTATAACAAAATTGTATAATTTCTACTGTTTTTTATCTTTAAAGAAAATTAAGATTATCATCTATATCATTTATATCATTTAAATAACAAAGCTATTTCTTAAAATGTCAGCAACTAATGAAAATTTATGATAAAGTAATATGATAGCACTAAAATAGTTGCCAGTATGGCTTCAAATACTCGAAAAAATAATTTCAAGGTTGTTTTACTTGGAGAGGGTTGTGTTGGAAAAACAAGTATTTTGTTACGCTATTGCCAAGATAAATTCAATGACAAACATTTAACCACTTTACAGGTGAATTCGTATAAAACTTTTAGTATTTTTATTGATTTAAATGAAAAAATGCGAGTAAAACTGAACAAAGTTCAACAAAATTTTATTTTACAATTTTTATTTATGAAATATTTTTAGAAATTTTTAAGTTTAAAAACTGTAAAAAATGTTTGGAAATAATTTTAAAAGGTTATATTTTGCAAAATAAATCTTGGTAAAAAAAATTTTAAATGGTTTTAAATAATTTTTAAAAATATATTTAAATAATTTTAAAAGGTTATATTTTGCAAAATAAATCTTGTTAAAAAAAATTTTCATACTTAAATTTTGACTCGGAAATTGCAACGTATAGAAAAAAGTTAAGTAAAAAATTTTAAATATCCTATTTTTTGTTTTAAGTTAACAAACTTTCCTTCACAGGCATTATTCTAATTAGTTAAATTTTGGTTAGTAGTTATTGTATTGGTAAATAATTGTCAATGCTACAATCTTTGTTGCTGTTAATATGTTATTGTTTTGTAATATATAGAACTTATTTTTCCTTTATATATATATATATATATATATATATATATATATATATATATATATATATATATATATATATATATATATATATATATATATATATATATATATATATATATATAATAACAAAAAGACAGTAAAGCTACAGTCACGCGGCCTAAAATAATTATATTTTTGCCAGGGGGTTTTGCTACATCGACTATTTTATAGCCTGACTTGCAACGGAGTGCTGCTACATCGGCTATCTTATAGCCTACTGCTACAAGGAAGTGCTGCTACATCGACTGAGGGTTTGGCATGGGGAAGCAATCTTTTTTCTTTTATCATTTCAATTATATTCCTATTGTTTGTAAAGCCTCTACTGACAACTGGAAAAATAAAATTATTTTAGGCTGCATAACTGTAGGATTACCAAAAAGACTAAAAAGAAATTATTGAAGTTTAAAAATAGTGTTCAGTTGTACTTGTAATTCCTTTATATATCCAATTTGCATTATAATATTTATGGCCAACTAATTTTAGGCTGCATTTTTAAATCGACGCTTAAATATAGATTCTAAAAGAATAAATCTTTCCATTTGGGTAAGTGAACTTAATTATTTTTTATTTATGATTGTTGTAAAAAAAGTAAGAGTTTGTTTTGTAAAGGGAATTTTTTTCATTTATTTTCAGTTTTTTTTAAGAATTCACCTCAAAGTAGTTAAAAAAAATTATTCTTAAAAGTAATATAAAAACATGTTTGCACCACCCTAATGCAAATTGACCCTGACACAAAGTTTTGTTAAATGAATAGTTTTGAAAAAGCTAGGTTGTTCTTAAACAGACTATTTATTTTAATCTCTTTGCTGGCTTCTATATATTCACAAGAACTTTTTCTAAACTCAATACCAACAATATTAGGAGTACCTTGTATACCGCCCCATCTCTTGTGAACCTATTGCTTATAAACTTTTCTACAATAGAGTTTGTTCAAACTACTTTTCTACACACATGGATATTTTCTACTTGCTAATTCTTTACTATACAATGCATAATATTTGTTTCATTCATGTTTATCCTTAGCCCTTTTTACTTTCACTTCACCTTTCCAACACTAAAATCTTAGTATTCTCATGTTGCTGCAGTATAGAATAGCATTCATGGTAAACCAACACTGAACTTTTTAGAGCAAGTTTTTAAAACAATTATAAAAAACAAAGAACTGAGTCTTCTTCAACAACATTGCTGTTTTTCCAAACTGTTTGCTTTATCACACAGGGAAATATATATTTTTTCTTCTAGCATTTTTACCACTCATCTAGCATTTCAACTATTTAAAAAAATATTTTTATCATATTTCTGAGAATGAAAAAATTTCAGCAAGAAATTAATTCTATAATTTAAAAAAAAAAAAGATTGCAGTTTCCCTTACTTGTTTTAGTATCCACTGAGAGAGTTGCCTAACAACTTTCTACAACTAATGACACATTATGATACTATCGGTTTGTCGTTAGTGAGAAAAACTATTATTCAAGTAGATTGAATATGAAAGAGACTTTAAGGGAAATGAAATCGTGAATTGCCTCATTATTCATTTTGACAGCAAGCTTGTAGATCATATAATCACAGAATTAATATTATCAAAATCTCTGAAAGAATTGTCATTAGTGTATCATCAACAGATGATGATACAAAAGAAGACCACCTGTTAGCTAAATGTCAATCTGCAAATTTTTCAATATATTGGAGTATTATGGACATAAAGATCAGGTGATTGACATCTATTGTGCTAAAACTAACAGCAACACTGGCAATGATGCTGTCATGGTTTTTCAGGCTTTTTAAAGATCATCCTGTAGATTATGTATCAAAGACACATGTGAAAGGTATGTTTATCATTGCATGGCAGCACTAACAGGCTAGAATGGATTAAAAAGGCAGATCTATTTTAATTTAAAGGAAAAATGGTGTAACATCAGCTAATAAAGAAAAACAAATATTCAACCTTACTGTATTCTTTCTGGGAGCAGATATTTCAGATTTTAGATTTCACCAATCAAAGGCATGTCATGAGGCAAAATTTTCAAATAACTAAAAAAGCTGAAAAGAAAGCTAGCACTTTAATTGATATCTAATATTATTTTTAAATTTCTTTTTTTTATTTTAAGTTTATGTTCTGGACACCCTAATGTACATGGTAATGTATATGGTAGTTTGTATGTATGTGGAATGTACATGCAAACTACCTACAAAATGAAAAGGCAAAAAAATATGTTTAAGTCTTACATTTTCAATTTTTAGAAAATCTTAATTAATCTATGTATTAGTAGCAGCCTTTTCTCTGATTTTTTATAATATGCATGATATTTCATTGCATAACTATACTTCTGCTTGACTTTATAATCTTAAGACATACATTATGCATAATCACATAAATAAAAGAATCAAGAATCGTTTTGATCATTTGCATAATTCTTTTTAAAATACTTTTTTTGCCTATTTTTAGAATCCATTTTTGTATTTTTTTTCAAAAGTTTTTATTTCAGTAGTTTTCTTTATGAAACATAATTATATATCAATTTGTTGTGTTGTTTTTTGAGAAACAAATATTCATAATATAAGTTTATTGTATTGTTTTTAGAGAAGAAAAAACTTTTTTTTCATGTTACACTCAATTATACCAAATTAATAATGATAAAAAATTATAAGTTCAATAAATATTTTTTTAAATGAATTTTAAACTAAATAATAATGTTTACAATTTTGTATATAATAGGAATAAAAGTTTATTTTGGTTTAGAATCATGTTATTCTAAAAAAAAGTTTATGGTCTTCAATTTCCTAATGGTGTGTGTAAGGGAGGGGGTAGTCCAGATAGGTCTTTTAAATACTTTTTCAAAAGAATTGTTAAAACGGAAAAAAATGCAATAGCTAATCAAAATTGGTTCATATTTTCATAGCATATTATAAAATTAACAAATAAAGGGTTATTATAAAATGTAAAAGTAAATATTAAAACACTTACTTGCAAAAATTAAATAAAAACAATTAATATAACTTTATTACAAGATAATGCAAGAAAATGTGAACATTACTGTGGACATCAAATTATGCAATACATTCAGCATTGGTAATAAAATTATTAGATTTAAAAGCTTGCATTATAAGCTGACTCTATGATCAGATAAATCCATCTTTAGATCTTTTGGCTACAAATGCTGTTGCTTCAATTAAAATTTAAACATAATGTTCAACGACATGAATGTGACATGGAAACCCAGGATAATCAACAATATGAAGTTGAGATAATTGGAACTATTGCAGTTTAGTTCAGGAGCAATTGTCTAATTCCGTTAACTTTTAAAATTTTGTGCAATACTAATTCAAGAACATGTTTACACTCATCTTTAATCATTTAATAATAAAAATGATGCACCTTAACCAAAGGGCAACTTTTTATTGTTATTTTTTATTATTTTTATTTTTTATTATTTTTATTTTTTATTATTTATTTTCCTCCTTTAAGTTTTTTTTCAAAATGAATTACAGTAACTTGTTAGCATATTGATAATGCTTTACCAATAGCTTCAGCAAATAAACAGGCACTAGTGATGGGATCATAAAGGTATTGGAATAAATTGTGTAGTGGCATTTTGTTGTTATGACATTTATCTTTTAGATATCTTTTTTTCTTTATGTCGATAGAATCATTGTACAGCATTTAATTTTTTTCTTGAGCTTTTCACATGGAAATATACTCCATTCTCTTATAAAGTCATCTTCTGCTGTTACTAGTTTAAACTCTTCTTAAACTGTTGACACTGCAGTTGTTGCTGGCTCATGCCAATTATAGTATTTTTTGTCACAATGCTGGTTATAAACGGAGGATTTATGTACAATTATCTTAGTGCCACATACATATCAATATTATCATCAATTTCAGAATCTGACTCTTACAAATTCACCATCAAATATGCACAGTCTATTACCAGTATTGGGTATTTTTAGATAATTTTTAGTGTGCCAATAAACATTAGGAGGAGTGTTTGTTGATCTATTAGAAATGCGTTTTTATAGTAGAAATCTTATGATCTTTACTGCAGTGGCATTCATCTGATGTGCACTTGCATGGTGCAATGTGAAAGAGTTTTCATTAGCTCCATCACTAAAGATCTTGATTTCTCTTCATTATGGTGGACCTTAAATTGTTTAACCAGCTTGATATGTTAGTTGTGCTATCCCTGATTAGTTTCAAAGTTTTAACTTCAATGCAATATCTCTGAAATCAGTGATTTTATTTTGCAGAGACCTTTTCTGCTATTTCTGATACAGTAGAGTCTTTAGTATGTGCTTTAGTAATGTTTTTTATTCTGCGCATGCTCAACAAGTAAATAATGTTTCATAATATTTTCATAAGTTCTTAACAGGGCGCCTCATTTTTTTTTTTGATTTTTGGAAAAAAATCAATTTGAATAGACTCATGGTTTTTGGAAGATAAAAAAATCTATTCAAACTATTTTTTGTTATAAGGTTTTTAGCAGCTCTTCCTATATGAAACTACTAGTTCTAAAAGTTATTTAGTATAATAAAATGTTATTTTGTTATTATTTATTAAAAATTACAATAAATTGTTATATTTTAGTAGATAAAAGAGTTAAAAATTTCATGAAAAGTATTAAGAGTAAAGTTTTTTAGTGATAAAATTATTTTTTTTAAATTTCATGAAAAGTAAAGTTTTTTAGTAACTTTAATTTCTGTGAGTTAAAAAAGGCTTTTTATTGCTATTACATATCAAAATTTGATTATATATTTTCATCTATAATTTCAATGCACTTTATAAAATTTAGCTTTAAATTTCTTTTCTTTCTAGTTTTAATATTAACTCAATTTTAAAACAGAATCGTTTGATGTTAGAAACATTTTTATTTCTCTAATATTTCATACCCATGTCAAATTTTGTTTTCTTAGGATACTGCAGGTCAAGAGCGATTTCATGCACTTGGTCCCATCTATTATAGAGATAGGTAAATTTGGTAATTAAAATATTTACTTTTAATTTGTTTATACAAATTCTGACAAAAAATTAAAAGTCAATTTTAATTTTAATAGTAATAGTAATAATTACTGCTTTGTAGTAACTAAGCAGTAACTTAGTAGTAACTACTAATATTAATAAAATTAATATTGATAATAATTATAGTAATAATGATACTACTACTAATAATAATATTATTAATATTAATAATGATAATAGTAATTATAATAATAATAATAATAATAGTAGTAGTAGTAGTAGTAGTAGTAGTAGTAGTAGTAGTTGTAGTAGTAGTAGTAGTAGTAGTAGTAGTAGTAGTAGTAGTAGTAGTAGTAGTAGTAGTAGTAGTAGTAGTAGTAGTAGTAGTAGTAGTAGTAGTAGTAGTAGTAGTAGTAGTAGTAGTAGTAGTGGTGCCCTTTTGAGCCTGTTTGACAAAGAACTCTGGCAGCCATTGCAACTGAGGTAAGGGTGAGAAAGAGCTGCACCAGTTTTATTTTACAAGAAAACAAAAACGAAAGTGTATGCAAATATCTAATGTACATAAACTTCAAATTATGTAATGTTAAAAAATACTAAAACATATATCAAGTTTTACAGTTTTACTTTCACTTGAAAATTGCATTGCGTCAACCTCTCCTTAAATTTTGATCTACAGCATTAATTTTTGTTACAAAATTTTTTATATAGTTTTAAAATTTCAATCGTCAATGTGCTTCTGAAAACAAAGCTGCGGTATGAGTCCAACCACCAGCAG